CACAGCACCAGGTGTATTCTCACCTTGGGTTCTATATAGGTATTGCTAAGCATATTTTTTTCCAGATGGGAGGTTACTTCACTCAAATAACCCACCAACAGAAGTGTAACAGGCATCTCTGAAACATATACTCTCCCTTCCGCAAACCTGACTGGAATTTCCAATAAGGTCTGCTTATCACTCTGGTAGAAGTGTCTGTTGATTTAGGGTGGCCTTTAATTTGCTGGAATTTGATAGAATTCTGAAACAGTTTGGAAGTAGAAACCTTACTGTTTCCTTTTGTCAGTCCTCACAGAAATAATTTTAGAATTTCTTGAATCACTCTGGTCTCCATCTTTGGCTCTAAGAGTGACAGGCTCTCCCTGCCCTTTGAAACCTGGCAACACTTGGACAATGGTATTCTTCAAAGGTAAAGTAAAGGGGCTACCATCTCAGTAGGCCTGGAAAACAGTGCGAAAGTCCAGAACTGAAGTCCTCCACTCAGAGTTCCATTCAGAATTGAGGGTAGCTACCACTCAGAGTCTGGAGGGTGTGGTTTTCATCCATATGGTGCCCCCCCACCCAAAAGGATTATTTTCAAGCCAAGCCTTGAGGGCTAAAGTAATCTCTCCTGGTGTGTTTGGATTTGCTTAATGTCAACTAGCTGTTCTTTCCCTCTAACTTTGCATATTTGTAATGGAAATATCTACCTTGTGATTGTTTCCCCATTTTACTATAGAAGCAGACAATTTATACTCTAGATTTTACATATTTGTGGATAAAGAGGAATTTTGTCCCAGAATGAATATGCCTAACACTCCACCCAAATTGGATTCAGATTAGTAAGAAGATTAGAATTTGTGACCTGGGTTGATTTAAGACCTGTGGGAGGATGTGATTTCTCAGTGTGTTTTACATGTGGGAAGGACATGAATTTTGAGATTCAAGGGGAGGAATGTTATGGATTGAATTGTGTTACTCCCAAATATATCCTGTAAATCCTAACTCCTATTGTTGTGGATGTAATCCTATAGTTTCTTTGTTATTTTAATGAGGCTATATCAGTATCATGTATGTTTTAAGCCAATGACCTCTAATATATAAACCAAGCAGATTAAGCGAGCAAATAAATATAGACAGAAAGAAAAAATGAAGGAGCATCAAAAAGTTGATGGGAAATGGAATTTTTTCCCTCATACTTGTCACATGATCACCAAAAACTTTAGGGAAAAAACCCTAAAAGAGAGAAGGACCCTTCTTCATATGGGACTGAGAGAGCCAGACTTCCCTAGAACTGGCATTTTGAATTTGGGCTTTTAGGCTCTAAATTATTAGAAAATAAATTTGTTTGTTATAGCTACCCTCTTATTTATTTCTGAAGCTCTGGTAGTGTGGTGTGGTGCTGAAAAGTAATCATTGGGCTGCTAATCCACTAATCACCCTGTGGGAGAAAGTTGAAAGTATTCATTCCCATGAAGATTTACAGGCTTGGAGATCCTGTATAGGGCCAATATGAGTCACAATTGACTCAATGGAAGAATCTTTTAAGATTTTTTGTTCTGATGATGCCTTGTACCTGATCCCTTCAACATCTCGTGATTGCATAGGCTGGTGTGCTTCTTCCATGTGGGCTTTGTTGCTTCTGAGGTTGATGGCCGCTT